GGAAGGGGATGATGAATAGTGGCGGTTGACTGGTCAAAATCACGGTTAAAGGTGTTTTTCGTGAGCTCGTCGTCAGCGGGGTCGATGACGTCGTCGACACACTCAATTGGAACTAAAAGTTTAAGTCTCAGGAAAATCTCGCCGTCGGCGGCGTCGAGGGCACTGTCGGCGGGATCTATTGATTTTGTCCAAATTCTGGATTTTTGCGATTTCGATCAATTTCAAGCCTTAACGACATCTTTTTAATCATTACAGACATAATTTTAAGTGACTAAATGATGTACTTAGCACATATAAACTTTCACAACACATTTATATATAAATTCCAAGGGGTACAATGTACGTTACATAACACACCTAAGTTTGGTATTTTCTCAACCTCAATACATTAATTAAGCGTCGCAATCCAAGCCACAACACTCAAAATGCTGAAAACAAAACATCTTATGCTTAGTCTGAACAGAGATCTTTAAGCATAATTCTAAAGCAAAGCAAATATAAAGTTCAAATCTAAACACACAAACATAAATGTAACATATGAGATCTACTACTCGTCAGATTTTGTGCTCGTTTCTCCTCTTTCTCCTCTGAGATTACCCATTGATTGCACATGAACGAAGAGGTTGTAGAAGGGTCGAAATGAAAATTCTTCAGTGGAATCTTCTTCTATTAACTTCATCCTCCTCATTAGTCGTATCAAGTTATCTTCCAAATGTCGAGAGTGCTCGAAATGTTCCTATTTTCGTTTGTTTTTCTCTCTTAACCAAAGCTTGAGTAGGCATAACCGTCGAGCTCGCCGTCAGCAGCCTCAAGGGCGTTGTCAGCGGACTTCTGAGAATTTTTTCTTGTAGCCTCAGGAAAAACTTGCCGTCGGCGGGGTCGAGGGCGCTGTCGGCAGCCTGGTTCAAATCTCCACATTTTGGTCCTTTTCGCTTCAAATTCCCTCTTTTTTGCATCTTTTTGCTCCAATGACCCTAATTTGTCATTCTTGCAACAAAACATGAAAAATATCTTTTTTAAAAGTGCAATATCATTAAAAAAAATATAAAATATGTATGAAAATCTCAACATATTTTCCTCTGGTCAGTCTACCACCAGGAAATCCTCCATGTGCATGAATTGTTGTCACCCTCTCCTCAGGTGACCAACAACGCTATCACTCCAAGGGCTTCATTTGCCTCGCATGAGAATCCAAAGAGTGGGCCGACCAGTGCTGTCAATCGGTCAAATGGAAAGTTCATCTTATCAAACATTGGTTCAAACGGAATATTCACTGAATTGTTCACGTCGATCCAAATATTATCAATTTGGTAATTTCTAATCATGGTTGTGATAATGATGACATTGTTGTAGGGGTTCCCCTTAGGGGTAGATCGTCATCAGTGAAAGTGATTGGTGGATGGCTGTCGTGCTCGAGAATGAAGGCGGTCATGCAAAGGTCGACCATATGGAGCCTCTTTTGGTCGACACGTCTAGAAGGTTCTCTGACTCTTCCCAATATAACCAGAACAAATCCATTAATGTGTATGGAGTTGACCCTTACGAGTTCATCCAAAATTTCATCGGGCTGAGTCTTCCCATGTTTTTGTGTCGCCACTCCTAACAACAAGAACTCAACCTTTCCTACTCTTATCAACTCCTTAATCAGGCTACGGAGGTGTCAACATTCCTCGGTGTCATGGCCATGGTTGCGGAGGTGGAGGTATGAGCAATACATCTTAATGTCTCAGATAAATGCTCATCTCTCATAGGGGATACCATTTTAAAGTATTCTTTGTTTTGGATGGATTCTACTAATTCCGTCATTGATACCCTCAGGGGTTTGGTCCTTGGTGCCTCATGTTTATTCGTCAGACATTCAAGATAGTGAGATGGCCGATGGTCAGTATACCTCTATTGCTCTCCAAGGTGTTTGTTCCTGTCAGTTTCCCTATTCTCTCAGGGCTGTCAACTATCTTCACGCCCAAGATGAATGGGAGAACGTTGAACACCTGTTGTTCTTTTGAGCCCTCTTCTATGGGCAATAGTCAGATAATTCCACCATATGACATGTGGGGTTTCCATTGTACTCCTCATCGGTAATGTGAATGTTAGCTGGCTCCAATAGTTTAGTCAAGTTTTTTGGATGTTGCATGCATAAAGCATATTGAAATCGCGCTTGTACCTGGGATAAGGCTGCATGTGCTACTACAGGTTCTAGGTCCTATACTTCCAGTATCTCTTTCTGGAATCTAGTTACGTAGGCACACAAGCTCTATGCTACTCCTATCTAACCTTCCACAAGTCTTGCGAGCTTTTCTGCTACTTTCGTGCTCTGGTAAATTGTATGACGAAAAACCTCTTAAAATTAGCAAAAGAGGTGATTGCCCTAGCAGATGACCCATTAAACCACTTGAGAGCTGATTCCCTCGGCATGTTGAAGAAAAAATGACACTTCAACATGTCAGTAATCCTCAACAGACAAACAAACGATTTAAATAACACGATGTGGTAGGTCGTATCAGATTGGACCACCCCTTTGTAGGAGTCGAGTGACAAAATTTTGAACTCTGAAGGTCAGAGGTAGAGATCTGCCAAGAGAATGCATTCTTCGGCTGGCAAGGGGTCTAAGTGCGTCCGAAATGTTGTTCATTCTGTTGACGTGGAGCTCGGTAGAGAAAAAAAAGAAACTTACCGTAACTACTCCAGCCTACTTTTCCCCGTCTCCCTCTCTTGTGAAATAGCAACTCTCGTCTCCGTCTCTTGTGCCTGAAACAGAAAGCTCCCCATCTCCCGTCTCAATCTCGAGAAACATAAAAGCCTTCCGTTCCTTCTCTTCGCGAAACAGCCTATGCCTCCTTCAGTTCGTGGTTCGTCTCCTTCAGTTCACGGAAACATGAAGGAGTTTTTTTATTACGTTGAAGACAAGAAGAAAAATTTCTTGCTTGCAGGAAAAAGGAGTTCTTTCTTGCGGTGAAGGCAGGGAAGAGGCAGGAAGGAGTTCTTGCTTGAGGTGAAGACAGGAAGAAGGAATTGTAGCTTGTGGTGTTTCCTTTCTTTGAATTTGTCTTCTGTTGTGGCTCTCAGATATAGAGAGAGAGGAAGTAAGAATTTTTTTCCCTGTAATTGTCGAAGAGATCCACTGGTGTAAATTTCTCAATTAATAAAATCCTCTGCAACTCCGTGGATGTAGGCAATTTGCCGAACCACGTAAATTTGTGGTGTGAAGCTTTTCTCGTTCTATTTTTCACTTTGTTGTCGATCGTAATTTAAATTTCATATATACCACAACACGTTCAATGATCAAATCCAACATTATCTTGGTACTGAGAGCTTCCTTGTCCTTCCGAGGCCTGGTTACCCATCGACCGTTGAGTGCTAGTTCTTCTAGTCAAGGGTTCTGCTTTCGGGGTGCTTGTTTGTAAGGATTCTGCTCCATTCTCTGAGCTAGTGCTTTCAGTATCATGTCTGCTATCTGACCAAGCATTTGGTCTCTCAGTTCTTGAATTTGATGCTGCATAAATTATTTGGTGCACTCCATACTTGTTGCATCTCCTTGCCAGATTTCTTCTCTTTGCTGTCTTTTTCCTCTTGTTAGTGGCATAATCCATGCTCACCACACTTCTTAGGATATTAAATCTAAGATTGTCCTACGAATCACACCAAACGAATATAGTGTAGCAAGACAAGCGAAGATGAAAGAGAGGGAGAGGGAGAGGGAGAGAGAGAGAGTGTGTGTGTGTGTGCGCACACACACACACACATGTAGGTTAAAGCTTATAGAGTTTTAATCATTGATTCATCAGCTTTTTATTGTAGAAATAACCCTCAATTTATAGGCAAAAATGAAGGTACAATAAGTATAATTACATGTTTGCCGCTATTTTAATAGAGATATTATATGGTAATTTAGTCAAAAGTAAATAACTGAAGATTTAAACACACACGTAAATAGACAATAAATAAATAATTCTTCAGCTCGGCTCTTCCCATCGATCAATCGCTTACGGCCGAAAATCTTCGGATCATCGAGGGCAAGCAGGCTCTGCAGGGTTCGGATGGCCGACCACTAAAGCTATCTATTGGTTGCCGGAATCTTTGTCCGGTCGGCCTCGCTGACTAATTGACTTCTATGATATGTTGATCGACTTTTGGATCCAATGGACATTTTCGATTCACGTGTTATTTACTTTTATCTTTGGTTGGACCTCTCAAACCACGTCTCCTTTGACCTATCTGATTTCCTCAAGATTTGTAATGTCGTATTTTTAGTGTAAAATACATTTTTATATATAGTTAGATGACATACATAGAAAATTTAAGTTTAGGCGTTAGATATGTAAATAAATAAGAATTGAGTGATGCGTATGTAAATCTTCTTTTCAAAAATTAGGGATGGAATTTTTTAGTTGAGTGACAGCATCTCATTCCGATAATGCATAAAGGTTGAAAAAATCAAAGTTTAGATGTTAGTTATATAAATACAAATATTTGGTGTGATATATATGTAATTTTTTTTTAAATGAGGACATTACATACAAGGCACCCAAAACATTACAATTTACAAATCAAACACCCTCTCTCATCCCAGCCCATATTTTCCATTTTTATCAAATTCACTGTAATTTGATCACATATAAATGTATTTATAGTTCAAAAATCACATAACCGTTTGATTTTTAAAAAAGAAAAAAATCTCTGGTGGCCTTAAATTTTGGATATTCGTTCCACATTGGCCGCATTCATGCACGATCATCGGGCAGTTCCGCGCTTGTAGTTGTGCTACCTTGGCTCTTAAAATCATCTTGTTCGGCTTAGGGAGAACTGGGTTTTGATGGCGAGGGAATTATGGTTTTGATTAGAAGGAGATGCCATTGGAAGTCGGGAGATGGATCAGTAGGGTCTCTGTTGTTTGATTTTCCGCCTGTTTCCGCGTATAAGCTCAAAAGCATTCATTAAAACTAGGCTTTGTGCAATCCGTCTTGTATCTTTGTTTGGTGTTGTGCAGAGAGAATGACGCATCGAAACTAAAGTTGTTAATGTTTTACCTCATCTTTATGGGCAGAAGAGTTTTTTTATTTCGAGTTATGCTACTGCATCACACCAATTTGGCTCCAGAATAAATTGTCTGAAAAAAAGTCTCCATACAGAAATGCCGGTAAATTCATCCCTTTCTGCAATTCTTGTTGGATTCCTATTATATTTGCACACAGAGAATTTGAAAAATGGAGGTAGGAGGATGTTAGTTTTGTATATATGAAAAGTTTGACTGTTTTGTATGTGATCTCCTAATACATGTCGTGTTCTTTCTCTACAGTAACCCTAGTATTTGGTTAATGTAACCCGACTCCCATGAGAAAATATTTTTGGTAGATGTAATCCATTGAAATATGAGTAAATAAGTATTTTACATGCATTGTTACAAAAGAAGGTACAGAAAATTTCTAGGAATGCACATTACAAGAGCACACCCTTTCACGCCTATTTAGACAACTCGGTTGCACTCATTAGAATAGCAGCAGCTTAAATGGAAACCAAGATAGGTTTTACAAAGACTAAACTATACAGAAACATTAACAACCCAAATTCCAATCTGAATGAATAAATTTTCAAAAAGGAAAACATCATAAGTAGTTTGTGAATGCAAAGACAAAAGCACAAAGCACAACAAAGCAGTGGCAGGAGCCACCGATCCCAGGAAGTCATGTCTGAACCCAAAGTATCTCCTCAAAAGCTCCTGAATAGTGTCAATAGTTTCAACGGAGGTTGTACAATCACCAAACTGAGAGGCAACCAATACATACAAAGTCTGCAGCAGGGCAGGCCCATGAGTACCATCTCCACCATGCAGGAATTCTCTGCTAGTGTTATAAAAACAGCATTAGTGCTTATGCTGCATTATTGATAAAAGAGGCTTTTTTTATTTTGAGAGTAAAGTTAAACTTATTGGTCAAGTGATTAGATAACGTGCAAAGATGTTCCGTATTGCATAGAATGCTGTGGAGACTATGGCATTAATGTCACTGTTCGGTGTCATGGCCACTACCCACATGCCATAGAAGGAAGTACATGAAGACTATGAACATGAAGAACAAGTACCAAAGGAATTTCACTAATGTGCAGTTGAAAGAAATGCAGCTGTAGACAATCAGACCATAAATGATGGTCTGAAGAAAGATGTGTGGGTTCTCAATGAGAAACTGCCATAGGGTAAGGTTAGAGGCTGATGAATAGAGCAATCTAAACAAAATTTGCTTTGCTTTGATTAAATTTGGAAATCAACAAGCATACCTGCGCAAATGCATAAGGAAGTGCAGATACATTCCAGCAGCCTTCTCCCAATAGAAAGCTGTTCGTTCAGCACCCACAATGGGATGCAGAGTTCGTCCATTATGTATTCTAATGAATAGAACAGTTGCATATATTGAGCCTAAAGAGTTGAACAGGTCGTGCTGTGTACCCCTATATATTCAGAGAGTTTATTTATTTGTTTTATTTATTTATGTTATTATGTTCCCAGTTCAAAGTTATTCAAGACAGCAAGACAGATACTATTGTGTCAACTTGCACTTTTGTACCAAGTTTCCATAAAATTGTCCCAGAAATTATAGCAATGAAAGTAGTGAAGAAGATTTGTGTGGCTGTGTAAGAGGGATTGCGCCAGTATGACTTGTGCAGCTTTCATAGGCAAGCTTTGCACCGAGTCAAGAATGATTGCGAGTATTCGGTTGGAAAAAAAAGATCATTTGAACCAGCAGAAGGAGCGCTTAGTTCATTGATTAGAGCTTTGTTTCTTCTACATTTAGAAAGTGATTTATGTTAAGCTAAAGCTGTTTAAAATAGCTGAAACTGTATGGTTGGTGAAGTTACCGGTAGAGGTCAGAGTTTCAGTAGATTTCAACAAAGTTAACCCCTAGAATGTCCTCTTAAGCTTGGGTGGTCATTCCTAGCATCCATGTTGCTGGGTTATGAACATCTTTAATCGACCTAACTCCCTCAACATTCAGAATAATAATGAAGAAACTGAGATTGCAATCACATACATGGTCTAAACATTTATCTCTGATATGATTTTTTTTATCCATTCTATTTTTTCTTATGCTTAGCTCAAAGTACTCAATGAGATGGCATGAACTATGCCTAATGGACCAACATAAATCTCTTCTTGGTCACGTTCCATTAAGAAAAGCTGCAGTTTAATAGACCCAAGAAATATGTTAATCCTAGCATAAGGCATGAAATAATAATTTTTTAAGTTACCTCATCAAAAGCATGGAATATGTCAATGCTTGGCTTGTAAGTTCTGCACACCGCTGTCCTACCAGTGTCCACAGTGTTACTTACTGCCATCTTCACAATGGTTGAGGCCCTTACATCAAGCCCAGAGGTTTGTTCATAAAAAAATATTATAGAGGTGTTGGCAACAAACTATAGGGCAATTGCCAGTCTCTTTCGCTGCTCGGTTGCAAGCCATTCACTCCAGGTGATCCTACAAACGCTCCCTCAGTATCTTCTGCTCCACGAGTTCCATGACCTCCTCAAAGAACAATTGCAGTTATTCATTTATTTATAATAGTTACCTCCATGTCGAAGTAAGTAAGATTTCTTTTCTTTAGATTTTTTTCCTTACCGACCTTTCTTGCTTCAGCATCAACTTCTTCAGGCATACGCTTCCTGGCGGAGTAAAGATGTGATTCATAGACCGTACATGTGGTGAGTGGATGTCATTCTGCTCACAATATCCAGAAATTTTAGAAAATGTTTCTTGTTTTGTGGGATATCTTCATACGCAAGCTTTGCACCGAGTCAAGAATGATGGCGAGTATTCTGTTAGAAAGAAAAGATCATTTTAACCAACAGGAGGAGCGCTTAGTTCATTGATTAGATCTTTGTTTCTTCTGCATTTAGAAAGTGCTTTATGTTATGCTAAAGCTGTTTAAAACAGCTGAAACTGTATGGTTAGTGAACTTACCAGTAGAGGTCAGAGTTTCGGTATATTTCAACAAAGAATGTCCTCTTAAGCATGGGTGGTCATTCCTAGCATCCATGTTGCTGGGTTATAAACATCTTTAATCGACCCAACTCCCTCAACATCCTCAATAATAATGAAGAAAGTGAGATTGCAATCACATACATGATCTGAACATTTATCTCTGATATGATTTTTTTTTATCCATTCTATTCTTTCTTATGCTTAGCTCAAAGTACTCAATGAGATGGCATGAACTATGCCCCAATGGACAAACATAAATCTCTTATTGGCCACGTTCTATTAGGAAAAGCTGCAGTTTAACAGACCCAGCAATATGTTAATCCTAGCATAAGGCATGAAAAGATAATTGTTTAAGTTACCTCATCAAAAGCTTGGAATATGTCAATGCTTGGCTTGTGAGTTCTGCACACCGCTGTCCTACCAGTGTCCACAGTGTTTGGAATATGTCAATGGTTGGCTTGTGAGTTCTGCACACCGCTGTCCTACCAGTGTCGACAGTGTTACTTACTGCCATCTTCACAATGGTTGAGGCCCTTACATCAAGCCCAGAGGTTTGTTCATAAAAAAATATTATAGATGTGTTGGCAACAAACTATAGGGCAATTGCCAGTCTCTTTCGATGCTCGGTTGACAAGCCATTCACTCCAGGTGATCCTACAAGCGCACCCTCAGTATCTTCAGCTCCACGAGTTCCATGACCTCCTAAAAGAACAATTGCAGTTATTCATTGATTTATACTAGTCACTTCCTTGCCGAAGTAAGTAAGATTTCCTTTCTTTAGATTTTTTTCCTTACTGACCTTTCTTGCTTCAGCATCAACTTCTTCAGGCATACGCTTCCTGGCGGAGTAAAGATGTGATTCATAGACCGTACATGTGGTGAGTGGATGTCATTCTGCTCACAATATCCAGAAATTTTATAAAATGTTTCTTGTTTCGTGGGATATCTTGATATATGAATGTCTCCATCTATGTAACCACCAGTTTTTAGACCTGCTAAAGTCTGTTAGAGTTTTCTTTCCAGCTCTGCTAAACCCATCAATGCTGCTAGGACTCATGGTCTGAATGCTCCACAACACCTTTCAATAGAACCAAATGATCCTCCTGCTTTCCTTTGTCTTTCAATTCATTGTAAAAAGAGCTTGTAAAAGGAACTCAACATTTTGTTTCCAGATACAAAGAGTATGTAGGTACTTGAGGTTTATCAACTACCTGGCCTATGTCCACAGAGTATCTGACATTGCCAAAGTTGGTTGAAAGAGGAGCAAATGGGAGTACCATTCCATGCATCTTTTTCTCGACAAAAATTCTGTCTGTAATGTTTACAATATTTCAGAAGGTATAAAACTCAATTTTGTTTCTTGTTGACAGCAAGAGGACTGAAATATACAAGTTTTTCACCTTCTTGGCCTGCACCACCCTTGGACGAACCAGATCGTGAAAATAATAATTCGGCTTTTGAAGGTAGTATCTTAAGGCTTGCTCCTGTTATATCTGCTTGCTTCTTTGTCAATGTCTCTTCAGAAATGGTAGTCAGATCTTTTCCAAATGCTGTGGCAATCTATCGAGTTAGCACAATAATTTCAAGTTTAAATGGTGAAACTTCAGCTTTTGATACTTACGGTCAACCAGTCAAGAAAGAAAATGAAGAGGGGGTTGAACGGGAAAATGTATCCAATAAGTGCATCCATACTTATCCAATACTAATTAGAAGATCTTCAGAATAAGGCATTGAATAGGAAAATGTATCCTCAGAAAGAAAACAAAGATCCCGCAAATCTTCAGAATCTCAACTCCCGAAGTGCCTTATAGGAACATATTGTGCCATGAAGACTTTTTTAAGCATGATCTCCAAAGAGAAACTGATTAAGAGACGCTTGTCGAGGAAGTTATGGCTTACCTTATTCTAAGTATGCCCAAGAAATTCATTCACAGCTATTGTTATTTTTGCATACATCAACGGAGAGGAACAATAAATGCTTGGCTTGTGAGTTCTGCACACCGCTGTCCTACCAGTGTCCACAGTGTTTGGAATATGTCAATGGTTGGCTTGTGAGTTCTGCACACCGCTGTCCTACCAGTGTCCACAGTGTTTGGAATATGTCAATGGTTGGCTTGTGAGTTCTGCACACCGCTGTCCTACCAGTGTCGACAGTGTTACTTACTGCCATCTTCACAATGGTTGAGGCCCTTACATCAAGCCCAGAGGTTTGTTCATAAAAAAATATTATAGATGTGTTGGCAACAAACTATAGGGCAATTGCCAGTCTCTTTCGATGCTCGGTTGACAAGCCATTCACTCCAGGTGATCCTACAAGCGCACCCTCAGTATCTTCAGCTCCACGAGTTCCATGACCTCCTAAAAGAACAATTGCAGTTATTCATTGATTTATACTAGTCACTTCCTTGCCGAAGTAAGTAAGATTTCCTTTCTTTAGATTTTTTTCCTTACTGACCTTTCTTGCTTCAGCATCAACTTCTTCAGGCATACGCTTCCTGGCGGAGTAAAGATGTGATTCATAGACCGTACATGTGGTGAGTGGATGTCATTCTGCTCACAATATCCAGAAATTTTATAAAATGTTTCTTGTTTCGTGGGATATCTTGATATATGAATGTCTCCATCTATGTAACCACCAGTTTTTAGACCTGCTAAAGTCTGTTAGAGTTTTCTTTCCAGCTCTGCTAACACCCATCAATGCTGCTAGGACTCATGGTCTGAATGCTCCACAACACCTTTCAATAGAACCAAATGATCCTCCTGCTTTCCTTTGTCTTTCAATTCATTGTAAAAAGAGCTTGTAAAAGGAACTCAACATTTTGTTTCCAGATACAAAGAGTATGTAGGTACTTGAGGTTTATCAACTACCTGGCCTATGTCCACAGAGTATCTGACATTGCCAAAGTTGGTTGAAAGAGGAGCAAATGGGAGTACCATTCCATGCATCTTTTTCTCGACAAAAATTCTGTCTGTAATGTTTACAATATTTCAGAAGGTATAAAACTCAATTTTGTTTCTTGTTGACAGCAAGAGGACTGAAATATACAAGTTTTTCACCTTCTTGGCCTGCACCACCCTTGGACGAACCAGATCGTGAAAATAATAATTCGGCTTTTGAAGGTAGTATCTTAAGGCTTGCTCCTGTTATATCTGCTTGCTTCTTTGTCAATGTCTCTTCAGAAATGGTAGTCAGATCTTTTCCAAATGCTGTGGCAATCTATCGAGTTAGCACAATAATTTCAAGTTTAAATGGTGAAACTTCAGCTTTTGATACTTACGGTCAGCCAGTCAAGAAAGAAAATGAAGAGGGCGTTGAACGGGAAAATGTATCCAATAAGTGCATCCATACTTATCCAATACTAATTAGAAGATCTTCAGAATAAGGCATTGAATAGGAAAATGTATCCTCAGAAAGAAAACAAAGATCCCGCAAATCTTCAGAATCTCAACTCCCGAAGTGCCTTATAGGAACATATTGTGCCATGAGGACTTTTTTAAGCATGATCTCCAAAGAGAAACTGATTAAGAGACGCTTGTCGAGGAAGTTATGGCTTACCTTATTCTAAGTATGCCCAAGAAATTCATTCACAGCTATTGTTATTTTTGCATACATCAACGGAGAGGAACAATAACCCCATATCCACCATTTCTTTTCCAAATGATGTGGCAATCTATCGAGTTAGCACAATAATTTCAAGTTTAAATGGTGAAACTTCATCTTTTGATACTTACGGTCAGCCAGCCAAGAAAGAAAACGAAGAGGGCGTTGAACGGGAAAATGTATCCAATAAGTGCATCCATGCTTATCCAATACTAGTTAGAAGATCTTCAGAATAGAGCGTTGAACAGGAAAATGTATCCTCAGAAAGAAAACAAAGATCCGGCAAATCTTCAGAATCTCAAATCCCTAAGTGCCTTATAGGAACATACTGTGCTATGAAGACATCTTTAAGCATAATCTCCAAAGAGAAACAGAGTAAGAGACGCTTGTCGAGGAAGATATGGCTTACCTTATTCCAAGTATGCTCAAGAAATTCAGTCGCAGCAATTGTATTTTTTGCATAAATCAAGGGAGGACCAGTGACCCCATATCCACCATTTCTTGATTTTCTCTGCAGCAAAATAATTACCACGTAAATAATAATGATGAAACCTTCGAAGCTATGATGGGATATTTTTGGAAGTGTGGGCCAAATTGGCTTGAATAACCGTGAACAACTATGAGTTTTTGCACCAGCATGGCTTTCAAATCTTACTATTCCTATATTTCTTAACCATAAATTTACTCGATAAAGTTCCAATACCTCGTGAAATAAGAAAGTCTCCCAGGATCAATAGAGTAAGTCATGCAAATAATTCGGAAGGATCAGCCACAACCATTTCTCTCCCAAGCATCAAGGAGCCGAAAGAGCCCTGAGGCCATCTGACTGATTAGAACAAGCCGCAGATAATGTTTGAAGAACCTGCAAAACAGTGGGTGCGGAGATTTTTACTCAATGGTGTTCTAGCCATGTTATGCCATCTTGATTAGTACTCTAATCTGTTGTTGTTTGGATCAAAACCAACGCCATGGTAGGTCATACAAATCTAGACAGCACACTCCAAAAACCATATAGGTATCTTGAGTATCCAAGCAGGTGGTGCATAAGCGACGAAGGGTAGACAGGAGGTCCCTTAGCTTGTAGAATAAGGGAAGCTTTGCAATGGTTATTGCAAGTTTAGCAAATCCATTGAATAAATGTGTGAAAAGTCCAAGAAACATCACACCCACATCCAAGAATATGACTCCATCTTCTGCATCATGGCAATGCATCTTTATCCTCAGAAAAACCATCATAGCAATTAAGCCAAAAATGATAATAAGGTGGCAATTCATGTAAGAAAGAAGGTTATTAAGAGATGGTTTATTTTTGAACTCTTTAGCATCGATGGTTAATGGTTAAAGTTTCAGGTTTTTCTTGCTCACTTGGTCTGCTTTCAAAGATATAAACTAATGAATATCTCTTCATCAACAGACATTATCTTGCGGTGCATCGTTGAAAAGTTTCATTTTTCTAATTCAGTATTTTAATGTTGTTAGTGCTGCAGGGTGGTTCCTGCTCCTATCGAACGGAGTATCGAGTTCTCCCCCCAGCTTGAGCCCTACCTGGAATGACGGAAAGGCTTCAGAAATTTTGTTGACAGAAACATAACTGTATAGTTCTTCTTCTTGAGCCCAGTACTAACGTCAATCCTTTCTGGAAGTGTGACCAATCGATGCGAAAGAAAAAGACTAATGTACAGTTATGCGGATTGAACAACTAAACTTTATCAAAAGATCTACATACATATCACTTAATTCTTATGTATTTACGTATCTAACACTTTAACTTTAATTTTTGCATGTATGCCACCTTATCTATGTATGAAAGGTGTATTTCACTTCTTAGAAGTTAAAATAATGGTATTTTTGATGTGATATGAAAGATTTGGATGGTATAAATATAAAAAAAATAAATTTTATTCTTAAAAATGTAAATACATAAGAATTGGTTGGTATTTATGTATATGCCCCATTTTTATTCAGGTTTGAACTTACTTCTTGCAGTAAGTCTGCAACTCCTTCTCAGGGCACTTGAAACTCATTAGTTCAAAGAACTCCAAAACATGCTCCCTTGGGTCCTGATACTCAATTTTCCGCTCAGACAAGTATAATATCGTTAAAGAGTTTTAGTTGCTGGCTGGAGGAGTGCAATCACTGCTGTCCCTCTAAGAATGTGAACTGATTGCCTGAGGGAATTCAATATCTGGTATGTGGTGAAGCTATCAAGACCAGTTGAAATTTCTTCCATGAAAAAGCGCTTTTGAAGGGCCAACCAAGATTTTGATTACAATGGCTTAGAGCGAGTCACAATCATCAAGTGGGAGAGAGGGAATCTACTGTGATAAATTCTAGATACAAGTCATCTGTAATGAAATGAAATTTTTTTTCATCAAATAAAACGAAAATCCTCTCTGTTTTGCAACATTTAAGATGGTTATTTTGCAGGATGTAAAGTGTTATCTAGTCAAGCAGAGAACCTGTCGGCAAGACACATTCAAGTGAGTGCATCATTTTTTTGTGTTTATGGGAACTTAAATACTTTTAGGAGTAATTTTTGCATCAAATTATTATTTTTACCCCTAATCACTATTTTTTACTTGGAGCCTTTTCTCAGGAAAATGGTACAAGTCAAAAGGCCAATTTACCACTTGTCATTCTTCTCTTCTGTCCGCCTGAAATAGTTTTTATCATTTAATCTCCAACCATGGTATCGGCACAAATCTCCAATCCTAAGATCTATCCTTTACAAACATGCCTACGCATCATCTAAATATTTCACGGTAAAGATGAAAATGTCTGTGATAGACGTACGCATCGCTGCGTACGATATTGAGGTTATACCGAGGGTACAAGGGGGTTATATCCGCGGTATAACCCCTTGTAACCTCCCTGTAACCTACTGTAAGTAACCTAAAATAAGTTTCGCGCTTCTGTTATCATATATTAAGAATTTATTAGTATGTTACATATAAGTTACAGAAGGTTACAGGGAGGTTACAAGGGGTTATACCACGGATGTAACTCTTTTGTACCCTCGGTATAACTCCAATATCGTACGCAGTGCTGCGTACGTCTATCGCATGCAAATTTTTTCTGAAAATCAGTGGGCTTGATTTTAACTTTGACGGTTCAAAAATTAAAATATACTTAAAAATAAATGTATAGGAATAATATGCTTTTTCTTTCAAAGACTAGAGCCTTTTTCTATTGTATCTTTGTATCCATATATCCATGAGCGGATTTAGGGGGTCTGCTGCTAGCTTAAAATATTTTTTTTGCTATAAATATTGAATTAGCTAAATAAATTTATTTTTTTATTATTTATATTTATATTTTATGTATGAGTTTGTTTTCATTTTATACATAATAAAGAGTTGAAATTGTTTTAGTTTATTTTTTAAATCTAAGCTCAAGTTTATTTATATAATCAATAATGATAATAATGAAGAGCGTATGCATAACTTCAATTATTAAGTTGTGCCTCCCAAGGACACACACACACACACACACACACACACACATACATACATACATACATTGATGCGGGTAGGTCAATGATCTCAAAGTAAAGTCTAGCTAGAAATGTTTTTCATTTTTTATCTTCCTTTAATACTAACCTTCATGTAAACATCAGTTTCTTGTTCAGGTTTGATGTTTGCTTATTTCTCCCTTCTTGATAGTTCATTTATCATATCTGTAAAACATACAGCAAATAATAGCAGAGTTTGTATGCCTGAAAAATCTAAGCAAAACAATTCCATAAATTGAACCATTTTTGCTAGCTTATTATAGCGAGTTCTGACCCCTAGACACCTTTTGGAGGAAACCACTGTTTCTATCAGTTATTTCTCCAGTGTGTGTATCATGCTGACTAATATAAGTAGAGATTCTTTGAGGAACAGATTCATTCATACAATGACCGTTGTAGGTTAACTTCTGTATCACATATATCTTTCCAGAACACTTTTAAAATGTCACTATATTTGTAGAACTGAACTTCATTCAATACATATAAGAATACAAACTTGACTTTAAGGTGACTGCGGGCTCCGAAAATTTCGACACCCCTAGACTCTTTTTTTTTATTTTTTTGTCAAGAGCTTTGAGGGTCAAATTTTCAGAAGACAAATTGAATTTTAGATAAGACACTACCCAGAGACTAAGTATTGTGTCTATGCATTGGCAACAACTAATCTCGTACGACTTCATTGACTTCTTCCAGACTCTATCATTCAAATGTCTAAGCTTACCCTACTCTATTATAATAACATTTTATTAGTATCCCTTATAAATACCACTTTTTTTCATGCACACACAAAATTGATTCTTATTTATATGTGATTACTTCAAATCAAAGGAACTGGTTTTCATTATATATCAACTTAAGATCAACTTGCTGATAACTTACAAAAGCTCTCATTGACTAGCTTCACGGATTTAAGAAATAACCTAACAATTCACGGTTGAATTACTAGCTTTTAGGGAGAGAAAAAGTTTACAACTAACTCATCAAAAGTAACTGGTTAGAAAGCATTTCTGCAAACATTACTTTTACTAGTATGCTTATACAAATCATAATTTATGTAGCCACTTCTTCTTCAAAGTATGTTCGACTGTTTGATCAAAACAAATCATTAATAATAGCTTTACATTTGTACCAAACTATGCATTAAATTATAGAAAACCACTCAATTTTTATATAGAAAAACAATATAGCCTTATAACAAACTAAATCAAATAAAATAACATTCTATTTCTTCCACTTCTTGTTCTCTCTTTTGTTCTTTATTCATTACTTTAGCAGTTTTAATTTATACCTTGTTATAACTATTACTATACTATAAGAAGTGCAATTACCAACAGAGAAAGAATGACGAGAATATCCTGGAGGGCATTGCGATGTTGTAGGTATTCTTCCATCTAAGCTTGTTTTCTTACTTGTATACTTTAAGATATGCAAAGAAGTTATCCTAAGACTAAGTTTTAAATTAAGGAGATATGAATTCTATTGGAGTTGAGATGAATGTTTTCTTAGCAAAATACCATAAAAATAAATTTTTAGTAAATGCTTTCGCTCTAAAGGTATTCTTAGAGTAGATCATATCTTTGATGCTAATGCAAGCAAACCTAAAAGAAAAAAGTTGTGCATGTTTTAACTTTCTAGCTAAGTTGTTTTGTATAAGTGTTGTTGAAAGAGGATCAAAAGATAAAAGCAAACTAGTTAAATATTAGTAAGATTTACATACATACCTCAATTACAATTTATTTATATATCTAACACCCACCACCAACAACAACAACAACAAAACCTTAATCCCACTACGTGGGGTCGGCTACATGAATCCTATATATCTAACACCCAAAATTCAATTTTTACATAAATGTTACCGATGCATGGAAATGTGTATTTCACTTTCTATAAGTTAAAATGTTTATTTTTTGATATGATACATTTATATTTGGGTGATATAAATTTTAAATTAAACTTTAGGTGTTAGACATGTAAATACATAAAATTAGGAATGTGTGTAAATACCCCTAAATATTATTGCCAAGTATACCTAATAAGAATTGATAAGGATGACCATAGTCAGTGTAGGGGGAAAGTAGTAATAGTTGTGTATAAATAAATAAATATTGATAATAGAGAACCATTAAATTTATATAATATTTTAAGCACAATAATATACAATTGAATTTATCCTAGTATACCTAGTTTCTATTTATTTATACATCTAACACCTTAACTTTTTTTTTTTAACATTTATTTCACTCAAATCTTTAATATCATATAAAAAATGTCACTAGTTTAACTTAAAAAAAAAGCGAAGTACACATGCCATATATGTAAAAATTGATGTTTAGATGGTATATATATGTAACACATAAGAATTTAGTGATATACATGTAAATATTCCTTTTAAAAATTAAGGATAGAATTTTTTAGTTGTTTGATGAGAATCTCAAGAAGATCTAAATTTATATAAAAATCCCCAAGTTTCCTATGTGCATAAATGTAAAAATGGAAGTTTTGATGTTAGATATATAAATACAAATAAATTGTGTGGGATATATATGTAAATTAAAAAAAAAGAAGAACAAAACAAGGGAAGCACTGGACTGTTGAGGCCGCGCATTTTCTGTTTGGGCACCTGAAGTATCTCTACGTGCGGAGCAGGTTATTCCTGAGTTATTTTCAGTTTATTTCTGGGTTATTTTCAATAATCTCGAAATAACCCAAAAATAAAGGCACAGGTTATTTCTGAGTTATTTTGAGATTATTATCTGAAAATAACTCAGGAATACCTGCACCGCACCTACAGCTTGGTGAGGAGTGCCCGTTCAGAAAGTTTAGCTTTGTGCATTCATCCAGCATGCACGAAATTTAGCCAGTGCTGCAGACAAAGCATAATTCACCATCTAGGATGCGTCAGGGCGTGGAACTGTTACGTTTGCATACATCCAAGATGCTTGAACATTTTGATTTTGAAATTATTTTGTTCGGCTTAGAGAGGGCTAGGTTTTTGATGAGGGAATTAGCGATTTGATTGGAGCGACTGAGTGAGATTCCATTGGAGGTGTAGGGAGATGGATCACCAGGGTTTCTATTGTTTGATTTTCGGCCCATTTCCGCAAATAAGCTCAAAAGCATTCATGAAAATTAAGCTTTGTGCAAACCTTTTTGTATCTTTTCAGTTTCTATTTTCTGACATTCTCTTTGGTGTTGTGCAGAGCGAATCTTGCAGAGAAACTAGAACCTTCTCAGTGGATTACCTCATTTTTATTGGCAGAAGGGTTTTTTTGCTTTGATTTCTATAACTGCATCACACCAAATTGGTTCAAGATCAAGTTGTTAGAAATGATGTCGGGAATCTCCACATCATCTATTCGACAGAAGTCTCCATACAGAATCACCAGGTAAAATCATCCCTTTCTGCAATTTTTGTTGGAGAACTTTTATATTTGCGCGCAGACAGTTTGAAAAATGGAGGTAGGAGACTTTTAATGTTCTAAACAACAGAAGTTTGACTTTTATGTATGTGATTTTCCCATACATGACACGATGTTTTTCTACAGTAGTCCCTAGTATTTGGTCAATGTAACCTGACTCCCATGAGAGAATATTTGCAATAGATGTAATCCATTGAAATGTGAATAAGAATTTCATATACACTGTTACATAAGAAGATACAGAAAATTTCTGGGAATGCACATGACAAGAACACACCCTTTCACGCCTATTTAGACAACTCTGTTGCACTCATTAGAAGAGCAGCAGCCTAAATGGAAACCAAGAGAGGTTTTACAGAGATTAAACTATACAGAAACCATCAACAGCCCAAATTCAATCTGAATGAATAAATTCTTAAAAAGGAAAACATCAAAATTATTTTTCTTATCTTCGTTGGAAGTTGAAAACTTTGATTGAAAATGCAAAGACAAAAGCAAAGAGCACAGCAAAGCAGGTTATGGCAGCAGCCACCGCTCCCAAGACGTCATGTCTGAACCCGAAGTATCTCCTCAAGAACTCCTGAACAGTTTCACCAGTTTCAATGGTGGTTGTATAGTCACCAAACTGTGAGGCAACCAATCCATACAAAGTCCATGCAACAGGGCAAGCCCATGAGTACCATCTCCACCATACAGGAATTCTCTGCAAGTGATAAAAAGCAACATTAGTGCTTATGCTGCATTATTGATAAAAAAGGCTTTTATATTTTGAGATCAAGCTAAACTTACTGGTCTTGGGATTAGAAAACCTGCGAAGATGTTCCATATTGCATAGAATGCTGTGGAGACTATGGCAGCAATGTCGCTGTTTGGTGTCATGGCTACTGCCATCATGCCATAGAATGTGAAGTACATGAAGGTCATGAACATGAAGAACACGTACCAAAAGAATTTCACTAATGTCCAGTCGAAAGAAATGCAACTATAGACAATCAGACCATAAATGATGGTCTGAAGAAAGATGTGTGGAATCTCAATGAGAACCTGCCATAGGGTAAGGTTGAAGACTGATGAATGGAGCAATCTGAATGAGTTTACTTTGCTTTTACTTAATTTGAAATCAAAGAGCATACCTGCGCAAATGCATAAGGAAGCGCAGAATACATTCCTGCAGCCTTCTCCCTATAGAAAACAGTTCGTTCAACATCTACAATGGGCTGCACAGTTTGGCCATTCTGTATTCCAATGAATAGAACAGCTGCATACATTGAGCCTAAAGAGTTGAACAGGTCTTGCTGTGTACCCCTGTAATGTATATTCAGAGAGTTTATTTATTTTTTTGGTTTTTCTCAGTTCAAAGTTATTAAAGAAAGCAAGAGTGTTGTGTCAACTTACACTTTTGTACCAAGTTTCCAAAAAATTGTCCCAAAAATTATAGCAATGACAGTGGTAAAGAAGATTCGTGTGGCTGTGTAAGAAGGGTTGCGCCAGTATGACTTGTGCTGCTTCCATAGGCAAGCATTGCACTGAGTCAAGAATGATTGCGAGTACTTGGTTGGAAAGAAAAGATCTTTCGAACCAGCAGGAGGGGCGCTTAGTTCATTGATCAGAGCTTTGTTTCTTCTGCATTTAGTAAGTGCTTTATGTTAAACTAAAGCTGCTTGAAGTAGCTGAAACTGTATGGTTGGTGAACTTACCGGTAAAGTTCAGAGTTTCTGTAGATTTCTGCAAAGTTAACGCCTAGAATGTCCTCTTGAGCCTGGGTGGTCACTTCTAGCATCCACGTTGCTGGGTTATAACCATCTTTAATCGACCTAACTCCTTCAACATCCTAAATAATAAAGAAGAAAGTGAAATGTTAATCACACATTTTGAACATTTATCTCTGATATGATTTTTTCTTTCTTTTTCCATTCCATTTTTATTGATGCTTACCTCAAAGTACTCAATGAGATGGCATGAACTGTGCCCTAACGGACCGACATAAATTTCTTCTCCACCCCGTTTCATTAGGAAAAGCTGCAGTTTAACAGATCCAAGCAATATGTCAATCCTAGCATGAGGACATGAAAAGCAAAATTTTCAATTTACCTCATCAAAAGCTTCAAAGATGTCAATGCTTGGCTGGTGAATTGTGCACACCACTGTCCTACCAGTGTCAACAGTGTTCCTTACTGTTCTCATCACAATGGCCGCAGCCCTCGCATCAAGCCCAGAGGTTGGCTCATCCATAAATATTATAGAGGGGTTGGCAACAAGCTCTACTGCAATTGTCAGTCTCTTTCGCTGCTCGGTTGACAAGCCATTCACTCCAGGTAAACCTACTATTGCTCCTCTCAGTACATGCAGTTCCACAAGTTCCATGACCTCCTCAATGAACACCTGCAGTTATTTATTTAAAGTTAATCTAGAGTTAGATTTATTTTTTTTAATTAATCTAAAGCTATATTTTTTTCCCTACTAACCTTTCTTGCTTTAGCATCAACTTCTTTGGGCAAACGCAGCCAAGCAGAGTAAAGGAGTGATTCATAGACGGTAACATGTGGTGAGTGGATGTCATTCTGCTCACAATATCCAGAAATCCTAGCAAATGTCTCCTGATTCTTAGGATATCCTGATATACGAATGTCTCCATCTATGTAACCACCAGTTTTTCGACCTGCTAAAACATCCATTAGAGTTGTCTTTCCAGCTCCGCTAACACCCATCAATGCTGTGAGGACTCCTGGTCTAAATGCTCCACTAACACCTTTCAATAGGACCAAATGATCTTCTTGTATTCCTTTGTCTTTCATTTCCTTGTAAAGAGAACGTATAAAAGGAAATTAACATTTTGTTTCAAAATGGGAGTAGTTAGGCACATATGGTATATCAACTACCTGTGGCATGTCCACGGAGTATCTGACATTGTCAAAGGTGATTGAAAGAGGAGCAAATGGGAGTACCATTCCTTGTTTCTTTTTCTCGTTGAAAATTCTATCTGTAATGTTTACGATATTTCAGTACATATAAAACTCATTTTTATTTTTTTGTTGACAGTAAAATGATTGAATTATAGAAGTTGTTCACCTTTGGGACCTGCCCCACCCTTAGAAGAATCAGCGCGTGTAGGTAATAATTCTGCAATTGAAGGTAATATCTCAAGGCTTGCTCCTGTTTTATTTGTTTGCTTCTCTGTCAATGTCTCTTCAGAAATGGTAGTTTGACCTTTTCCAAATGCTGAGGCAATATATCGAGTTAATAAAATAATTTGAAGTTTAAATTGTGAAGCTTGAGCTTTCAATACTTACGGTCAAGCCAATCAAGAAAGAAAATGAAGAGGGCGTTGAATAGGAAGATGTATCCAATAAGTGCACCCACACCTATCCAATACCAGTTAGCATCAACAAAGATCCCACGAAACTTCAAAATCTCAACTCCCAAAGGGTCATTGAATCCAGGAACATACTGTGCCATAAACATTGAAGACATCTTTAAGCATAATCTCCAAAGAGAAGTGCAAGTCTAGCCGCTTGTTGAGGAAGATATGCTTACCTTGTTCCAAGAATGCCCAAGAAATTCATTCACAGCAATTGCATTTTGTGCATACATCAAGGGAGAGGACCAGTAACCCCATATCCACCATTTCTTGATTTTCTCTGCAATTGGAAACTACGGCATAAGTAAATTATGATGAACCCTTCGAACCTTTAATGGGATATTTTTGGGAGTTTGGACGAAAATTGAATTGCATAAGAGTCAAACAACTAAGAGTTTTTGCATTAACACAGCTTTAAAATCCTAGTTTTCCTATTTTTCTTAAGTGTAAATCTGCTCGGTAAAGTTCCAATACCTCGTGAAATAAGAAAGCCTCCCAGGATCAATAGAACAAGTTGTGCGAATGATCCAAAAGTATCAGCCACAACCATTTCTCTCCCAAGAGCAGCAAGAAGCCGAAAGAGCCCTGATGCCATCTGACTGATTAGAACAAGCAGCAGATAATGTTTGAAGAACCTGCAAAACAGTAGGCGGTGAGATTTCTGCTCAAAATCATGCTAACCATGTTATGTCATCTTGATTGGTACTCTAACCTGTTGATGTTTGGATCAAACCCAATGACATAGTAAGTCATACAAATCCAGACAGCACACTCCAAAAACGATATAGGTATCTTGAGTATCCAAGTAGGTAGTGCATAAGCCCACGAAGGGTAGAAAAGGAGGTCCCTTTGCTTATAGAATATGGGAAGCTTTGCAATGCTCATTGCAAGTTCAGCAAACCCATTGAATAAATGTGTGACAAGTCCAAGAAACATCGCACCCAAGAAAATGACTCCATCCTCTGCATCACGGCGATGCATCTTTGTCCGTAGAAAAACCGTCATTGAAATTAAGCCAAGTATGATAAGCTGGGTGGTTTATGAAAGAAAAAAAAATGTTATTAGGAGATATTTTATTTATGAATTCCTTAGCTTCAATGGTTGATGGTTAAAGTTTCAGGTTTTCTTTACTCACTTGGACTACTTTGAAGATATAGACAAATGAATTTCTCTTCATCAACAACCATTCCCTTGAGGTGCATACTTTGAGAAGTTCCATTTTACTAATCCCATATTTTGATGTTGTTAGTGCCGCAGGGTGGTTCCTGCTCCTATCAAATGGAGTACCGAGTTCTACCCCTAGCTTGAGCCCGACGTGGAATGACCGAAAGGCTTCAGCAAATTCGTTCACAGAAACATAACAGTATGGTTCTTCTTTATGAGCCCAGTACTGATGTTGATCCTTTCTCGAAGTGACCTATTGATGCAAAGGAAAACGGCTTGATGAATAGTCATGTTGATTGAGGAACAAATTATTATTGAAAGATTTACATATATATCACTCAATTCTTATGTATTTACAAATCTAACAGATAAAATTTAGTTTTTACATGTCACCTTACCTATGCATGAAAAAACGTATTTTACATTTTAGAAAATAATGGTTTTTTGATGTGATATGCAAGTTTTGGATGGTATAAATGTAAAAAAATAAAGTTTAGGCATTAGATGTGTGAATACATGAGAATTGGGTGGTACGTATGTAAATGCCCCCTTTTTATTTAGTTTTTCAACTTACTTCTTGCAGGAAGTCTGCAACTCCTTTTCTCTCAGGACACTTGAAACCCATTAATTCGAAGAACTCCAAAACATGCTCCCTTGGGCCCTGATACACAATTTTCCCCTCAGATAGAAGTATAATATCATCAAAGAGTTCATATGTTTCGGGCGCTGGCTGGAGCAGTGCAATTACTGCTGTCCCCCCAAGAATATGAACAGATTGCCTGAGGGAATTCACTATCTGGTATGTAGTGGAGCTATCAAGTCCAGTTGAAATTTCATCCATGAAAAGCGCTTTCGAAGGGCCGACAAGCATTTCACCTGACCAGAAATTTGATTACAATGGCATAGAGTGAGTCACGAGTTTCAAATGGGAGAAAGAAAATCTTCTTAGTTAAATTCTACATACAGGTCATGTAAAATGAAATGCAAGTTATTTTCATCACATAAAATGAAAACTATTTCTATTTTGCAGCATTCAAGATAGTTATTTTGCAGGATAAAAAGTGTTAATCTTGTTAAGCAGAAGAGTCTCTCTTCAAGGCAGAAGGAAGAGCCAAATTTTTTTCATGTTTAGGAGTATTGTTTGCATAGACTTTTTTGTTTTACACCTGATCACTAATCTTTTTTACTTTGAACATTTTCTCAGGAAAATGGGACAAGTCACAATGCCAATTTACCTGTTGTCACTCGTTTCTTCTGTCCGCCTGAAATGCCTCTTATCATTGAATCTCCAACCATGGTGTCGGCACAAATCTCCAATCCTAAGATCTTTAACAGGAGGAGATGACAAAGAAGGTATTATTTTTTATGTTTATGGAAACTTAAATAGATCATCTGCGAAGTGATTTCTGTTTTTGGAGATTTACCTTAAGCATATAATCTGTCACAACATTCTCCTGCCCTTCCACTGATATGGCCTGCCATTGTAAAATAAATAAATGTCTTACTGAACTCTTAATCTGGTAAGTATTACAAAAAAATTACTTGCAGAGTATAATATAGTTAATTTATCTCATTAGCAATGTCGTGTTGAGGTTTATCCTGACTAATTAGGTCGATTTTAGGATACGTTTTTTTTCTTCATTTGATGCAGAAAGATAGACATTATTATTCTTTTGACAAATACAACTTTGATAATTAAGGCTTTTGCATTTAAGTTAAAACTACTGAGATTTTGATCTATCCTATAAGGAAAACCTAGCTATGTTAACTTGTAAGATTATTTAGTTTGATATCGACCATAAAAAACAAATAATAAAAAACAAATAATGAAGTTAACCAAAAATTTTTTTTTTTGAAGTGATTTTTGAAAATTGAAGTTATTGTCTTTTTAGATGCATGTAAGGCATGCACATACAAATTTATTTAGAGTAACTTTTTTCAGGCACAATATGAAATATGGTATTAAACTATTAACAAAATTTAGAAGCACGCCTACTTTTAATCTAAATATTTCACGGTAAAAAGTGGGTATGATTTTAATTTTGAGGGTTCAAATATTAGAACATGCTTAAAAATAAATTTGTAGGAATAATTTGCTTTTTTTTCTTTATATTATTGTATATATATGTGTAAAGTGTTTATTTATCATTTATGTATGAGCTTGTTCTCTTTTATTTATAATAAATAGTTGAAATTGTTTTTTTTTTAATTTATGCTTAAGTTTATTTATATACTAATAATAATAATAATAATAAAGAGTATATATATAACTCAAATTATTAAATTATAATAAATAGTTGAGTTTATTTTTTAAATAGCCAAATTGCGCCTCCCAAGAAAAATATCTAGCTTCCTGCATTGTATATATGTGCGAGTACAATAAATTTTCATTTCTGTTTTATGTCAATGCACTCAAATTAAACTCTAAACTCGAGCTTAATACGTATTTTTTATTATACTAACCTTCATGTAAACATCAATTTCTGGGTCAGGCTTGATGTTTGCTTCTTTCTCCCTTCTTGATAGCTCAGTTAGCATATCTGCAAAAAATGTAGCAAATAATAGCTGAGCTTCTATACCTGAAAAATCTAAGCAAAATTCTATAAGCTGAACCATGTTTGGCAGCCTACCATAGCGAGTTCCAACCCCTTGACACCTTGAGGAGAAAGCCATTGTTTCTCTCACAGTCATTTCACCGATGTGTGTATCATGCTGACTAATATAAGCAGAGGTTCTCTGAGGAACAAATTCATTCATACGATGACCGTTGTAGGTAACTTCTCCAGAAACCTGATAAATTTTAAATTTTGCCATGGTTACTTCAGTTAGCTTTCTTCTGTTTTTAGATGCAATTGAGGAAAAATAATATTTGTTGTGTTATCAATATATCAAGGAAGATTTACCTACATACCACTCAATTCGTATGTATTTGCATATCTAATGACTGAACTATAAATTTTACATAAACGCGACCTTAAGTATGCATGAAAAGATGTTCACTTTCTAAAAGTTAACATGGTGGTATTTTTTATGTGATATGCAAGAATTGGGTGTTATAAACGTAACAAGTAAAGTTTAGGCGTTAGATATGTGGAAACATAGAAATTTTGTTGCTATGTTTGTAAATGTGGAGAATAGTCCCGCATTGATTGCAAAAAGAAAGTTGGGTTTTAAATATTAGATGGCCCCCATTGTCCTTATTTTTGAACATTTTGGAGGATGGGTGTCAATTGATTTATTCCATTAGGGCCAACTTAGGTCTATTTTTACACTAATTACTCTATCCAAAGAAATCTCTCAAAATTCACTTGGTAAGAAAATATATTTAGCTTGCCCTAATATTCAATCCAAACATCTACATAACACAGACGATGCGAAATGGCATTACCATAAAAAGTTGGAAACATAATATTAGATATGCCTTATTTACTTAATTAATTATAAATGTAAAATGTGTGATAAAAAATATTTATTTTTCAAAAAATTTTAAAAATAAAAATAATATATGCATCAAATAAAAAACTTGAGGATAAAAAAATATTTTTTTAGTTATAATTATATTTCAATAACTTATCAAGTGTACTTTCTTTTTATCAAGTGTATATAATTGTCAATATCACACCAACATTACATTGAATTATTTGGCATTGACTTTGTCAATATTATTGTTATATTGTCCGCTCAAAATGTCAAAAGAGAAAATAGTTTATGATTTTCAAAACATCTAAATTAAATATGAACATATTTAATTTAGATGTTTTGAAAATCATAAACTATTTATGTTCCTCTAATTGGCCAACACAATTACTGTCACTAAAATCACATTTCTCTTAAATAGAATCTTTGCTACACAACAAAATATAAAGTTTCTATAAGTCGGCTTAAAGAAAAACTTCATTGCATGGACCGATTTTTTGAAGTCTGTGCTTCATAAATCTCCATCCAATTTTGCCAAATTTTGCAGGGAGACTAATAGCTTAAATTATTTTTGAAAAACAAAGTTGTATTATGTACCTTGAGCGTTGAATCAAGTTTTCCTGACAGGGCCAACAAAAGTGTAGTTTTCCCGGAGGATGGAGGGCCCAAAAGCAACGTCATTCTGCATATCAGAGGTACTAATCAGATATTCTTGACAAAATATATAACCAAATTTTTTTCTTTAAACAGGGAAAAAAAAAGAAATTTGCATACATGCCACACAATTCTTATGTATTTACTTATGGAACACCTAAAGTTTGATATTTACATTTATAAAACTTTGGTGTCATAAACTTATGCATGGAAATGTGTATTTTATTTCTACAAAGATAGTGGCGATGAATATTTTTGATGTGATGTTAAATATTTGCGTGGTATCATGAAAGAGGAATGTTTTAAGTTGTAGATATATAAATAAAATAAAATTGTGTGGTATGTATGTGAATGCCCAAAAAAGGCCTTTCATACCTGCAAGGTCTTACAATCCCATTGATATCATTAAGGATGGATATTGGTTTCTTTCCACTTGGCACAACATGCAGCGCACTCAACACTCCCTAAAATGAAATAAATAAGCAGCAAAATTTATGATTCCTTTTTTCTTTTTTTAACGAGTCCTGTAATTTAGAAAATCTGTTGATTACCATGATTTTATTCACAAAAAAGTTAAGGACAGTTGGAACACCCCGGTTCCCCACGTATGCCTCAGCTTCTATGTTAAGATGTTCAAACCTGACTTCAATCGTTGGGTTATCAATTCCAACACTGAAACAGAGAAAACAATAAAAATCAGTCCTCAACTTTGTTAACTCATGCTTTCAGAATCTGTAAAGTTTGTTCTACTTTTGCTTTTTATTGAAAAACTCACCGTTCCATGCGGTCTCTGAGCTTAAGAAGAAACTTCTCATTGTCCTCTTCTGCAGTTTTGACCAGATTCTCAAGCAAGTTTTTCCTCTCCAGGATTCCGAGGTCCTGGATGTCGACTTCCTGCACCGGGCCGCCGGCTCCTTTGAGAATTCCCCGCCTCATGCGATCGTAGGTGGGGAGCTTCTCAAGCACCGCCCATTTCAACGCCTCCTCGTCGTCTTCCTCCCTGCCAGATCTGCCGAAGACGGTGCTCGTTGTTCGCCATGTGGAGGCGCTCCGGCTCATGCTCCTCATGCTCCCTCTTATGCTTGCCATTCTCATACTACTCTCCATCTTCCTTCAGCCTCAGCTTCTCACTCGCAATCTTCTTGACTACTTTATAAAGATTGGAGCTTTGTTAATTTACAGGTAATTGTGTTTCATGAAAGGCCAACCAGAGCCCAGAATTGAACGGTTGCTTCGAGTTTAAAGGTGATTTGGTTTGTTTGCCCTCCTGTAATCTTGTTGAGAGGGAAAATTTCAAATTAGAGGAGTGGGTGTTTTGGTGTAATTGGGGAGTGGGGAGAAAGAGCTTTATAATGTTAGCAGTCGCGGAAATGATTAGCTGTTTGAGCTTTCCTACTGGAAACTTTGTTCTCTTTTGTGGACCAAGTCTTCTTTGGTTGTCATCATTTTGTTTGTAAAGCATTGTTTAATGAGAGCGATACTATCAATGATTTTTAGGAGTTTGATAGGGGGGAAACTATAAATAATATGTATATATATATATATTAGTATTTGTGCATGGCAACATGTATACGATCAGTCAAATAATGCATGATTATTTATATTTAAGTTTTATTCCATCCGAGGAGCCCAAGTTTAACACGTACTTGGCAGGTAAAGTAAAATGTGTTGTTGTACGTTGTATTGGTCCTGGGGATGCTGCTCCTATCCCCCAATTGGAGCTCTGGGAAGAAACTTTGGTGCTTTTGATTATGTGCTGAATAACTTAAAATTTAAATGGAATTCAAAATGAGTAGGAAAGTGAACTTTAGAGTTTATTTTCAAGCTAGACTATGTGCTATTTAGTAATAGCATTAAAGTTCTTGATGCTTATTTGAAATCGTGTTTGTGATCTTATTGATCGTATGTGCAAGAAATATGGGGCAGGAAGTGTTGATAAAAGCACTCCTGGGGTTTATTTATTCGTGAACCGCAGTTTAAAGGTGTTTATCTCGTCCCACGGTCCACAAATAAACATTTGCAAATCTACCCTTCCCTCATTTGCTTTCGCCCCATCCTCACTTGGGATAGGGAAAAGAACATGGTGAATGGAACATTTTCTTGATATTCATTTTCATTTTCTTTTTATTTGCAACCTCATGCATTTTCTCTGATTTTCTTGTTTCTTTGCAATGGAATTGCTCATCCGGGCTCGCTTATGTAGTTGTTTTAGAATTTGTGCATATATGAAATGATGGACTCGGTTTGCTTGTGCTAGAACCTTCATTGTATGAAATAATGATGTGATGATGTTAGGCTGTTATTTATCCATGAAATTTTCTTGAATGGCAGCTTCAGTTTAGGGTTTAGGGTGAAGTATTTATGAATGGATTTTGCTCTTATTGACTGTCTGAATTGGACTGAAGAATGCATTTCTCAGTTTGAGATTTTGGTCTTTTAGTAGCTCTAATGTGAATGGACTTTGCCATTGCATTTTAAGGTGAATGGACTTTTATTAACTATCCATTTTTTAGGATATTGATGTTTCCTTACTAAATCTCGGAATATCTTTAGTACCATTGGTATGAAAGTTAAATCAATGTATCCATATATTTATTTATGCACGTCAATGTAGGGATGGAAGGGTAGAGACAATCATGCATGGAACTCTCCCCTCCTTGGGAAAAATATGAAACATTCATCATTGTTTCAGTTTGACAGAAGCATATATGGTTCTCAGTTGGTAATATCAACTTTAGGGCATGTTATATATGTTTAAGGAATTCGGTATTTGGCAGAGACGAAATATCGATTTCACACGCGCTAGACTCTATGATGAGAAACCCACGCCATGTGCCACTCTTTGAGAATCCCACGTCACGGGAGATCGAACCCCTGACCTAAGGGGACTTACAGTAACCTTGCCACCAACAGGCCAAGGCTTGTGCACTATATATATATATATATATATATATATGAGAAGTATTATAGTGAGAAGCAATAATAAGTAAAACCAACAGAATATGTAGTGCATGATTTTATTAATGTTTAATCACACAATTATAATGTATCAATCTTTATTGAACAGCCAAAGTTTAATATTTACACATAGTGATGGTGGTTTTTTTTTTTATGAGATGTTCCAGACTTGATTGTTATGCAAGTAAATATGAATATTTAGGTGTTTGATATAAATAATTTTACATAAGAATTTTGTGATATGTATGTCAAATTCCTATTTATGTTGATTTGTAAATGTAACCAAAGTATAAATTTCAAGATTTTTGCAATTGGTTTTTTGTAAAATTGCTCAATTTCTCATAGAATTCGACAATTATGCTAACTTTATCCTAATATGGTGTGTAGGATGCTCTCCTATTTATCATATAACATTTGAAATCATATACCGACCTTCTAGATATGACAAGAAATGGGCATCATAAGGGATATTAGATCATCTGTTATTTGGGAGAAAGAAATAAAAATGATTTTTTGTGACATTTCCTTGAAAGAGATTGAGATAGAAATAATTAGTAGGAGAATTTGTAGTGTACTGTAAATCTTCTGGAAGGATTTTAGAAAATCATGTGTTTGATATGAAAAAATACATGTACAATGTAAAGTATGAATAAATTTGAAGTTTACACCGTAGTTAATATTCGATGAATTTAGAACTCGGTTGATTTTACCAAATTTGATATTTACACAATTTATTGATGAAAAATATTATCGGCAAGCCGCCACCTATCCCCATAGCAGACCGCCACCCGCCACCCGTTGCCGAACACCGCACACTGCCCCCACCTGTCGTCTGCTGCTCGTTGTCGCCGCCCAACGCCTGCCGCCTAATGTATTTCTTTGTCCAATGCTAACTATCAGTCGTTGGCTATCACATTCACAGTCATCGACCATAGCAACCCGTCATCCATCATCGTAGCTTGACGTCCGCAGTTGTCGCCGCCTTCTCCACTACCACGACTACTGGCTGTCATCCTCCACCGCAACTTATCTATCGCTGCTTTCCATCACTGCCTCCACCCGTTTCCAACCACCATCGCCGATCATTGGTTATCATTGTCAATTGTTGTCGCCACTATGGAATGCCGCTCATCACCCGCCAATAATATCTTATATATTTTGAAATACATTGTCTTTAATCTACTTCAAACCAAACTAAAAAATATAAATTTCTATATTTATTGTATAGTGAACTAGACAACTTCAAAGTATTTCAAATATAATACATTAACTCTATATTACTTTCATTTTACACTGCATTACTTTTTAGCAAACCAAACAACCCCTGAAATGACAAACTCTGATGAATTGCATTGAGTTGGAGTCAAGCTTAGAAGAAAAGAGGGGAAAGAAAAATATACTGATGATTGACAATAGAAAGCCAATGTTCAAAATATCCCTTGTGAAGGATGACAAATATAAAAATGAATACAAAATGATGTACGAGAAGATAAATCAATATGTGTAGGCTTTGACCCTAACCCCACTATCTTTGGATAAGGTCGAGCGATTGGAGATCAAAGAAGCACATAATGGCGGTAATAAGTTGATCAAATTTTATCATGAAATATTTCAACTCTGGTGTAATATCCTTTCTCAGTATTTTCTAAACTGGTCTAGTCATCTGGTTTAATGTGGGTCTCAGTATTTTCTAAACTGGTCTAGTCATCTTGTTTACTGCTTAGGATAAATGTAATATTCTTTCATGATTATCTATTCTAATGTATTCATGTTAAATCAAAATTTTCAAATGAATAGTATTTTAGTTTAAAACTATCATATAGCCCTTCCTGGTTAGTGCTTAAGGTAGATGTGAATCACAATGATTTCTACCTTATTCTATAATAATCAATTCTTAAGATATATGTGTGCTCTAGTGCTATCAATCCTAATTCAACTCAAAACACATCTTCTCTAACCCAAGGACACCCTTTGTTGCCAACCCAGGCCAAACTCACTGAGACTTAGCTTAAACCCAACCCAAACCCAACTCAGCTTAGTCATAACATAAAATGGCATGCTCCACTCCTCCATATAACCAATTTTTCCACTTGGCACTCTCCCATTGGTTCTTCCTTTACCATCAACACCTTCCCTACTCCCTGCCTCTGCTAGCTAGGTGTAGTTTCCCTCCCATGGTGCCAAAAATGAGCTCTAAGACCCTCCATTCCAATGGCTAACCAAAAAGAAATGTTCGGGAGAATCACACAGAGAGCCTATAGCTTTTTCAGAGAGTATTTAGAGAACTCATATTCTCCTCTTATCTTCCTTACCTTCAAAGGACCCCTCCCAATCTCTCAGTTTCATCCCACAACCATCTACTGCCATGTACCACCACCATCAAGCTAATAAAAGACACAACTTATTCTTTTTTACATTACATTAGACTAGACATGCTCTTTTTTATTATGTTATGTGGGTTTAGCGGACGAACCTATCTAAGTAGGGTTATAATTTCAATAGTGTCAGGCTTGCTCAGTCCCTTATGGGATCTTCTGCTAAATTCTTGTGTGCTTCTTTTTTCTTGTTAGATCATGTTTGAGATTTTACTTGTTTAGTAAACCTTACCTTTATGTCTTAATATTTTAATATTGCTCATCTCTCTATGACATAAGACATTACCTCTTAAGCCCTCCTCCCATGATAAGATATCATGGGTTATAAATCCTGATTTTTTTTAATAAAATATCAACTCAAATATTAAATTTCACAATTTAAAAATCATTAAAAACCTAACCATATGATATTAGAAGTCTCACCGAGTCTCTCAGTATCTAGAAACTTTCTACCCTTTTCTCCTTTGAGTTCCAATAATAAGTGTTCCTACATAAGCTATCTATATCACTTTAATCTTCCAAATGAACAATCATGAAAACCAAAATTTGAAATTTTTAAGGGCATCACCTCAACTTTAATTGAGAGTTTCTTAAGAGATATTTCTAAGATTTAATTAACTATAAGAGCTTGATCTTATAGGAAGTTTGTAACCTAGAATAATCTAAACCTTACTCAGCCTTTGAGCTAGGTAGAGAAAAGATTTTTTGGTTTAAATGCAAACCCACAAAATATTAAATAATTTTTTTTAAAATTAATTAAGTCTATTATTTATATCTTTTGAGATAGTATTATTACTTTTAAAATTTTATTTGATTATTCAAATAAATTAAAATATTTGAAGTTTAGGTGATGAACACCAACATATAACCAATCCAATAAAAATCATAACATTAAAGAAATCTTGATAGTCTTACCAAAAAAATTCATTGTAATGTCCTCCCACTTCAAGTTCTACTTCATGGTGATAATAATAATGACTACGATGATTTAGTGACTTTTACCATTCTACTTTAAAAGTTGGAAAGATGTTACTTTCTAACAAAATAGACATCATCCTTGTTCACTTTAGACCACAAAATTAAGATTCTAACTTTTGATATATCTTATGGACTTCATGTAGATGATGCATCTTATATAATGGTCAACCATCATGATGAATTCCTTCATTCATTAGCTCCAATTTTTTTTTTCTGA